CCTTGACGATGTTATCGATAATTGCGAAATGATACGGGAAGCATAAATACATATCCGAGAGCAAGTCGTAATATATGGCTGTTCGAATGGCGGATACGTATCGATAGCTGCTGTCTGGTAGCATCCTGCGTATTTGTCACGTGGACATACGTCAGGAAGCGACGTCGACGGTGGGGGAAATTCCGAGGACTCGCTGTCTGATAGAGAGAGGATCGAGAGAGGATCGCCGATCGTCTCTCCCGCGTGCAGAGCTACCACAATCGTTATATTAACAACGGAAGTCGTTCGGGGATAATGGTTTTCTTCGAACGTCCCGAACGATCGAGCGTCAGCGGTCATAATGCGCGATCTAAATGTTCTAAAAGATTCCGCCGACGTCGGATGATTTATAGCGCCGAACGCGTATCATGCCGATGCATCTCGTTATTGTTACGCTAAATATTCGATACACGATCGCGAATAAACGCGAATGGCGATAAGAGCGTGTATCAATTTTGTAATTAAATCGCATTATGATGTACGGCTAATTTATATTTGCCATTATATTTATGCATCGCCGGAAACCGGAGGTACAGCGCGCTTTTACAAAAAGGTGTTGTGATATAAGGATCGCATCGTGGATGCGATCTAATGTTTTCGTTGTAATCTTTAATAAGAAATGATATGAATAAATTGTGCCCAACATATATTCCTCTTCTTGATGGTTAGCATCGCTCGGGCAATATCGTGCTACATCTTTTTTTTCTTAGATTGTAATATATACTGAGATCGAGTCAATATTTAACTTCAATGAGCTCTGCAAGTAGCCGTTGCTAAAGTTTCCAAACTTGTCTCGAAACGGATAGTAATGATGCCATTAGTAACGAGATCGCGCGATACCGAGAATAATAGACCGATCGCGTAATGCTAGCGGGGGAACTTTACATTGCCTCATGGCGGCAATATAAGTATCCCCGTTATAGTTTCGTAGAACAATCGATCGCCTTCACAACATGACGGATGTCCGATAAAAACTGACGTGGTTCGGTTTTGTTGCGTGTTTGTACCGTGCGGCTACGGGATCGCTCGTAAGCCGCAGCCAAGAGAGCGCTCCTAGGCCGCCCGTAGCTTGCGGCGATATTTTACCGTCGAATTCGTAATTACTTTAATTGGCTCCAGATGCTAATTAATGACCTAAACATATGCCGCGTTATATAGATCCGGTCCGATAGGGCGACCTATACGCCGCCGTCGCCGCGGAGGCCGGGATCGGGGTGAGAACGCATGTGTTTGTCATTACATGCACTACGACGATTTTATCGCTTCTGAATAACATCCTCTTCTACCCTTGCCGTGCCTCTCGCTCTACACCTTCCATATCAGATCCAGAAAAAGGGCCGATCACCGATTAAAATGTCCTCGTATCGGTTGTTTTGTTAAAAGAACACAAGCGCTCGTTAATCGCCCGATAATCACCCGTGAATTTCCAAGTATGTCAAGAAAAAAAAAAAAAACCTGTAATAACCAGTAATATCATCCATCGATTTCATCGATCGTGCCAATTCGACAAACACATTAACCTTTAGCTGGAAATCGTGTAGGTCTAAGATTACTGTTGCCGTTAACAATTTAATAATGTCGGAATAAAATGACAAATTTGCTTTACCTATTGTGCATTCAGCGAGAAAACGGATCAAAATTGCAGCAGCTGCGCCAAATCGAGAACTCGCGGAAGGAATGGCGAACGTAGCAAAATACACGGAGCGGATTTCGTGACACGATCGAATTACTTCGTTACGGACGCACGTCAGATCGGGCGATTGGGCGCCCGTCGTTCTTGCCTATCATTACGAGATGCTACTGGCAGCAGCCGTCGCAGTTTCGATTCGATCGCGTCCGACAGCATCGATTATCGCCGGCCGCTTTTCAACCCTAAAGAGGGAAGAAGGTAGACAATCGCGATGTGTGCCGGCACTTCGATCGGGTCGATCGCCATGCACGTCGAGTCGAGTCGAGTCGTTTCGCTCGGCCTCGACGCCCGTCTTACACCCTCCCCCCCCCCTTTTGCAAATTGACGGTTATCCGACTTCCACGGTGCCCGGCTGCGCCGATCGATCGGTATTCACCGATTCGACATAGGAGAACATACGGAAATCCCTGCACCGCGCGCGGGCACAAGAACTTTAACCGCGAGATTACCTCCTGCACCTATACACGGTCACGCACTTTATGCGATCGCCGCTTCTGCCAGCGGGAAAGTTGAAAGTTGAAAGAATCGATTTCTGATGCGCTATCGCTATTGTTGTTTAATGGCGAACTATAAATGCGCCTGGATGGGTGTTTCTCGCTCGTTACATCGCTGCGATCATTCGAGTTACCTCTTGTCGAAACGACTATTATACACGCAAAGAAGTGCATGGTAATTATGAAATGTATTATTTATTAACGTTCTTTTATCTTTTTTTAACTTATTAC